CATCTTTTGTAAATACTTCAGATTTCAGTTCAACTACATTTTAGGTTTTGTTAATATCAAAATAAAAAAAAAACATACATACTGCCAGAAATTCTTTTATCTGTATATAGAATTGTTTTAGCTCCTTTAAATACTGATAAAAAATTAAAAGCATATAAAGTAACTAACTTTATTTGAACAAAAATAGTTTTCTTAGAAAAGCACCACAAACCTTTCAAACTCATAAGTCATTACTTATTCTTATGTACAAAACAATTTAAACACTAAACCAAACTGGGTAAACAAAATCCAACAATAGTTATTGACAGGTGGCTTAGTGTAAAAAAAACCAACAAAAAACGAATGGTTTACACAACTTGATACTGAAAATCTACATTACATAAATATATAATTTTTTGAGGGTTCAGCAAGTGGTTGAAACCAGCTTAATAATTGTTCTCAGCTTACAAATGTTCTTCTAATTAAGGTATTGTTATATTTCAGTTATGATTAACCTGTCAGAACATACTTGCTTTACCTCTCACCCTAATTTAAATATTTAATCACGCTCATATAGGTCATTTCCGAGATAATGTGCTTCATTGTTACATATTTTACTATATAAAAATGCATTTAGGGACATCACTAGAAACTTTATGTGAGAAAGTTCTTTATACTGAAATGCAGACTATGTAAACTAGTTTAGGAAAGGGTTAACTAATTATGTGACGCTTCCCGAGGATACATTGACTACTAATTTTATTATAACATTTGGCACAATTATTAATTATATTTCCTTTTTAGACTAGAATAATTTCCTTAAATCTTAGTGATTGTGTTTTTCTGTTGCATTCTACAGAAAGTAAAAAAAATCTTCCTACATAAAAAAACAAACAAACCTTTAAGATCAACACCATGTAAATCAAAAACTTTCATGTTGATATTAACGAGGACATTTTTATCTTGGAGAAATTTAGTTGTAAAAAAGCCAGTATTCAAGATGCAATCGAGAAATTAATGTTTCTCTAAACAAAATTAGACTACTATATGCTGCATCTATATAATAAGTAGTTTAAATTCACATATTTCATTACTTAGTAGTTATAATCAACAGCTGTAATAACCTTCATGCTAAACAGCTGTGCATTGGTTACCAAAGCTTCAAAGGAACAAAAAAGAGGAGGAGGAGATATAGTATCCACCAATGCACTATTGCATATCTATTTCAAGTAAATAATTTTTCTTTCATTCAAATAATATTTCCTATTTATACAGGAGTACCATTTATAGCTTCAAAAATTATTACGCTAAATCATTTTCTTCCTAAGCTATGTAAAACTTACATTTTTTATTATTCCAGAAAAACTAAATTAATGTACAAAATTTAACATTTTTGAAATGCACATTGCATTTTTTAACAAACAGATATTAAACTACTTTCTATCGCATGGTAGCTCAAAAAACTAATTATTTTACAGAAAAAAGAAAAAACCAGAAAACTAATGCACTTCCATTCTATGCCTTTATCTGTAACACTAACGAGTTATTAAAATGTGAATAATTATTAAGTAAAGTAAATTTTAGTAAAAGATATCTATACAAAAGGCACAAGTTTCAGTAGTACACTTTCTTATTGTTATCAAAAATCAACATCTAATATGTTAATTCTTTATTGATATTTTATAAGAATTTACATATTAATATAACGTAAATACGTTATAGATTCTAAACTAACTTAATCTTAGTCTTCAAATAATAACAGCACTATAACTTTTTTTCAAACTAGTAAAAAAGTATTAGTTGGGTTGTACTTTAGTAACACCATCAACTTAGAATAAAAACAACATCAAATAATATAATTCTAGTAATATGTTTGTACGATAGCCAAAAATAACTTGTCTTTATACATGTAACCCTGAGACTATCTATTCTTAATAAAAGTTTAGAATTTTTTTATTTTTATATTCAGTGCATACAAAAAAGATTTTAAGCAACTATGCAGTATTTTAGGTTATCTGGCCCTCTTTTTGTGATATCAAGAATAACTGTTGTGTTGGTAAATATCTAATATCAAGAAAAGTTTTAAAGTTGTCATTCAGATTCCTTGAAAAACCTTGATTTTTCTCAATTAAAGAGGTTTGGCTAACTCGTGAGGCTTCAAGTCATGGAAAACTAGAACAATTCTGTAAAAACAAAAAAGATGAGTATTAAGTAAATTAGTTGGAGCATTATACGAACGGAATCAAAAATTTACTTTCATTCAATTCCTCATGTAATTAATTCAAATAAGACAACATTTCTTATATCCCAAAAAGCATCACAGCCTTTCTCAGAAATGAACAGCTAAATTACTTGCACTACATTCTCTATCCCAAGATCTGTCTTTTTGTAGCAGCATAAACATACAATGTTGTTGATCTATTCTTTAAATACGAATGTGCATTTTGTTTACTTTACTTGATCTTTTACACATTTTCATGTATGTGAATGAACTTGCACTCAACATTTAATTGCTAGTCAAATTAGTGACTTAATTCTTTTTTTTTTATGCATGTACATTTTATACATGACTTGGCTACATCTTGTGATAAAGAATATATACCAAGTTTTCAACACATGTGGAAACTTAACAGCATATATTTATGAATAAGGCAAATTAAAAAAATTTAGACCGTTGTACCTATTACATTTATAACCACATTTTCAAAATTAAGAATATCAATTTACAATCAAGCAATTAAAACAAGATTTTGTTTTAAATCATTAAAAAACTGATCAAACAAGTTCTTTACTGACGACTGGCCATTTTAATTTAATGAGTACAGAAACCCTGTATCTGAGGTTATCACTGTCCCCCATTATAACTATACATTTCAATATACACATTCAATTGTACATAATATACATTTGAAGAATAAAAGGCATAAACATTAAATAATGGTACAGCCGAACACTATTTGTAGATAAAATTTGTTTGTAATGCACAGTTTTTCATTCTTTGAGAACTGTAAGTTACTAAAACTCGAGCTTCTCACCTATCATCTGATATTCCTAATTTTTCTTTGATCAGCTCATAAACAGGACCAGCATATTTGGGTTTTGTTCGACTCCAAACACTCCAATTGACCATATGACAAGCTGACATGTTGGATCATCTGTTCCTCCACGATACATTTGCAGTCCAGGGTATACTACCACACTTATTTTCTAAAATAGTTTTCCATTAGTACTGACATCAACAAATATTCTACTGTATGTAACATTTGTCTAGGAAGTTCCTATGAGAGAGTTTTCACACAAGTTTTAAATATTTTCTAACTGTTAAATGAAATGTCAGGAAAAAAAGGGTCAGAGAAAGCTAAAAACTCATTAAAAATATTGTTTACATTAGCTTTTGTTTGTTTCAAGCTTACACCATTATTTTCTATAATAAAGCTATTGAAGAATTTGTATTTTATACTTCCTAGTGTATACTCATCAATAAACTTTAATCTTATTGTTCCATAAATGTTTTAAAGATTGATTAATGACTTAATATGTTCTTAATTAATGTTGTAAGTGATCCAGTTTCATCAAATTTCTTAATTTAATGACTTTTGAGAAATATATCTGTAATCATTGAAGCTAAAATTTACTTTTACAAAAAACAAGATTAGGAACAACTAAAAATTAAAAACTTTAAAACACATTTTATAATGCTCAAATGTTTTCAAGTAAACGTTTATCAGAATATTCAAGTGCCATGGAAACAGTGATTATGCAACATTTCAGTTTCATACGGTAAAAACTATTTATTTTTTTATTTATTTCAATGACATAGATGAATGAATGGTTAATAAATTATTTAAATTTTCTGATGATATTAAAATTTTGGGTGTTGCTGACTGTGAGGAGGACGTTGCTGCTTTACAAAAGGACTTGGATTATTTGGTGAGATGGGCAAATAAATGAAAGATTACTTTTAATTGTCATAAATCCAGGGTAATGCATGTGGGGTATCACAATTTGAAACATGAATATAATTTTGATGGGAATAATTTTAACAGTGTTATGGAAGAAAAAGACCTTGATGTTCAGGTTGATCAATCTCTTAACCCATTCAAGAAATGTGCTATTGCTAGTGGTAAGACAAATATCATCTAAGGTTGTATCTACAGGAATATTGTATACAAGTTTAAAGAGGTTATAATATCATTGTACAAGTCATTGGTTAAGCCAGATCTGGAGTACTGAGCTCAGTCTTGGGCTCCTTACCTTAAAAAAAGGCATTGAATTTTTGGAAAGTATTCAGAGTAGGGCTATACAATATCTGAGATGGAAAGGTTGTCATACGAGGATAGGTTAAGATCTATGAAACTGTTTTCTTTTGAAAAAAGAAGAGTTGGAGGGTATCTGATTGAGGTGTTTAAGATTCTTACAGAAATTGACAATATTGAGGTAGGAGTCATCTTGAACTTCATTTTTCTAATATGGGGTCAGCCTTTGGAATGGGTTTCTTTCAGATATGGTAGGTGCAGTTAATTTAAGGGAAAGCTTGGTAAATATCTAAATAATAAAGGTCGTTTTGAGTGCTATATTTTCATTTTAGAGTTCATTACAATGGATGGGACACGTTAGATGGACCAAAGAGGTCCCTTGTTGTCCTTAAATTATATTTACGAGTGTACAATAATTAGTTTCAACCATTTAGATGCAAAAACTAGAACCTTTAAACACATATAAACATCAGACAAGTAACAAAAGTAAAACAAAACAACAATTTTCAGTCTCTTAAAATGGCAAAATGAAAAATATCTATAAAATTATAGTTATAAATTTTCAAATATTTGTACTAACTCTGAAGATGCAACAACTTAACAAGATAGATCAAACAATAAGTAGTTGGTGTTTTAATTTCATACATCTCTAAATTAGTTTATAAAGATAAAAACAATCTTTTTTTTCCAAGTTACTTCATTTGTTTAACATTTAGGTCATAAAAATGTTCAAAAGTGCGTGAGAAAAAGTAAATGCTGGATAAAATAAATTTTCAAAAACTCAAGTCTGAACTGAATTTTGGAATAACGGTGAATTTTACCTACGGGCTACAGTACAGAACAGTTATATGATTATTCTGAATAATAATAAATTAAATACCACGCCTACACTCTCAAGACGAAAACAAGGGCCGTAGAAATTTAAGTTTAAACTTAAATATTAGTTTCACCTACCTCTTTAGGTTTACCAAGTATATCTGCTAGTAAGTCAGTAAGAAGAATATGAAAGTCTTTAGGAACATTGGAAATATTTGTCTCAAATCTACACAACGGCATTTTGATATATTTTCCCTTAAGCTTGTAGTTGTACTGATCTGTTGGTTTCTCGTACGTTTTACAATCTTTCTTCAAATCATGTGATTCTGATTTCATAAATAACCTTTAACTTAAAGGACACCACACAAGATCAACTGCGTGTCACGTGACTTTGCTTGGCAGTTGCTTTTAATTATCGACCATATTTACTTGAATGGCGATAAATACTCTCCGAAATGTTACTGTGCGTGCAATTACGACTATTTTGGAAGATTTTTATAGATGTTAGCCATATGAATTTGTGAATTTTGTCAAAATCCTGCTGTCTGCAATACCTTTTTCATCAATAATTACATATACTTTATCACTATTCATTACTTTATTAGGTTAAGAGTTTTACGTAGTAGTAACAACTTCATTTATTATGTACTCTTGTTTCTTGATATTGTTACTATGGTATATAAACATACCATGAGTTTCTATCTTATTATATCACATAGTATTAATCTCAATTTATGAGCTGTTTTTGAGTATGTGCAGTTTCACACAACACGTGGTAACAGTAGTCAAGAAAATCGTTAAGATGATATCGTTCTAGCTGTCTCTGTTACTTTGTCATTCTTTAAAGATCACACCTGTTTTCTCTAGCAATATCCTCCAACGGTAGGGCAGGTAATATCTGGAGGTTGTGGCCTCTCTTATGTTTCAACGGGATTGACCAACAGTGACATAGTTAGTGCACACATCCTAAGAATATAGTATTATATTAGTTATTACAATCTTCCAGGCTCGACCAATCAGTTTGGTAAATGAATTTTAAGTTGTTTCTTTGTAAATGGTAATACTCTCCTAAAGTTTAACTTGTAAGTTAACCAATTCTCATCAGGCACTTTTACAAATTTTTAAGAGAGAATTCAGAGATATATCTATAAAGTAAAGATGCTGTCCTTCATCCTGTACACACAATAATTTGATTGTGGTTATGAGTTTGAATAAAGAGTATTTCATTATGTTTTTGTGGATGTATGTCCAGTGCATTTCTTTCTCAATCTTACTCAAAGTCAAAGAACTAAGAGTTATTTCTTAATAAATATCATGTTAAATCTTGTGTCATTCTGCGGACCTATCTTGTTGCTTTAAAGGGAAGTCAGTTTCACCTGAAAATACCAAAGAGTGTATAGGAAGGAGAAAATTTTAGTACAGTGACTAAAGGATATCTTATCATAGAGTTTTTGTTTTCTACTGATGAATATGTTGTTTTTTACTTGAACTCTTGTATTATTAAGCTCAAAAGGGATTTATGATTGAAGAAATGTTATTTTCCACAACTCAAAGGATTTATGAGCAATAGGGAGATTGGGTCACTGAAGAGAGATGGTTGTACAAGAGAGTTGTCTCGTCTAGGAGAAATCCTTTCCTGGACATTGTACTTTTGCAAATGCTGTGAAGATTCATGACTTCTTTCCCATTTCTGCCACAGACTTGGGTAGAAGAACTGTCAGAAGATGGTACACCAAGGATGGCTGATCCGGTTTGCTGGATATACAAGACTGTTTAGTGTAAGTGTTATTATTTCAGTAATTTGGTGATTTAACATTTGATTTACTTTTCATAAAAAGAGAGTTAAAAGTAATTATTTTAAAGGCGATAGTTATGACAAGTTTGGTTATGTAATTCTTTATGAGTCGAACATTGTGTTTGCAATTACATTGTTGTCTAGGCTTTACAAATATTATTGAAGTCACATTACTCGATTTTTCTCGTTACCTTAACTGTGTATTGTTAAATCAGCGCCGTTCGCTTACTTTACAGAAAGTTCGAGGCCTCAGTGATCAACCTAATAAATATAAGTGACCAAGATTGCGCAAGTCATATAAAGTGAAGAAAAAAGTCCAGTTCAGTCAGAAAGAAAACATGAAGTTAGCTGACGTGTGAGTGATTTAGCTATAATGGGTGATATTTTAAAGTGAGTTTCCCAGTTCAATAATTTGTTTTGTCAAAGGGTGTTCTAAAGTAACTGAACCCGTCTGTGTGGACTTTGACGAAAGAAGACAATTATTTAAAGTTCGAGATACAACTGTGATAACCTATTATGTAGTGTAAGTGAATTATTTACTGATACTATTGTAATAAGAGTAGAGAAAAATAGTTCATATTGTCAAGTAATTGAACCAGCCCGAATGAACTTTTGACACGAAAAAGAGAACTATTTAGAGTTTAAGATACAATTGTGATATCCATAGTGTAAGGAATTTTTGTACATACGTTTAATAACTAGTTTTGAATATATTGTTTTAAAACAAATGGAATGTGTGCTGTCCGTTTATTGTCGACTTTATTGCCAACAAGTCACAGACACCTACTGTAGAAGAATCCTCAGCCCACACACACACATAAAACCCTGACACAGTTCTTTCCTTTAGGATTGGCCTCACTGCAAGGGAAACACATACAACAGAGGTTGTAGAGGTGGTGTTGTGTTTAGCAAGTATGAGACCAAATGGTTTAGTTTTTATAGGACTCTCAGGTCTTTGCTAGCCAAAGCAACTCAACCTCAGCTATAAGCAGAGCAACCTGAGACTAGCCAAGAGAAATTGGAGGTGCCATTGGAGGACAAATTATATTAAGAGAAATTGTTTCACTGATAGGTGAGACACTAGGCACCAAATGATGAATACGGTGAACCTTGGGGCAGTCATGAGTTTCTTCAAGCTGGGAAGTGTCCTCCTAGAGTGACCATGGATCTACGGTCACACAGAGCCTATTGATTTGCTTAGTCTTACTCACAGGGACCTATGAGGGTATCATAAGCCTTTCTCCTATAGAGTCTTGGCCAACACCAGGCTGAGACATTTTAAACATGGGTGTACAGTGTGGTGATTATACTCAGGTATCCCAACACTTTGATGAATAGTAGGACTCTGCTCTAGGGTGAAAGAATAATAAAATGTGTTTAGCTACTCATGTCTTCCTCGATATTTAAGAGTACAACCAAGTAAAGTCTGGATCATTTCTTTAATCATTTCAGACAAACCACTATCTAGAATAAATAAGTTAATGGACAGTGAGTGCAATGCCTTATGTTGAATTTGTATGGTTCAGTGCTTGACTCAATTAAGCATTTAGATAAGGTGAAAAGAGCTAAGAGTACTCGTTTGGATGATCAGGAATAGCCATATGAAGAAGAAACAACTCCAAAGTTGATCAAACTGCCACTAATGGCCTTTTGATTGATGTCGTGGTCTAATCAAGCAGATAGGATGGTCATGTTATTGAAAAGTTAAATTGAAAGGAAGTGGTGTTCCTTGCCTTCTGGGCTACTGGGTGATATTGTAAGGTACAATGTATGTACTACATTGTATGATTACTACATGATCATCATACAACTAGGACAGTAATGTGGTTGATAATTCAATAACTGAAAGGAAGTGGCAATTTTCACTTTCTAAGCCATCAAGTTATGTTCACAATACAATCTATGCATTACATTTTGTAATTTCCACTTGATTATCACAAAATAGGATGATTGGTGTTAGTATATGCCGGTATTTATTAATAGAATCTCCAAAAATGACAATGTAAGGTGAAAGAAGAGGTAACTTACCATTGATAAAATCGGGTCCGTGGTTCATGAGTGGAATATCAATACTAAACTGGTGTTAGTATATGTAAGTCATAGTGCATCAGAAATTTGCACAAGTGAAGATAACAACTAGGAGTCCAAAAACACAGCTGTTAAGTGATATTATGTGACAAAATTTCATGTGAGGTCTCACAAAAATCACTTACCCGAGTTAGCTGAGTGGCAAGAGCTGTATGAAGTATACCACATGATCCTCGCTAAATCTTTCCCATGTACCTGAAGAGCATATAACTTCTCCATATACATTGAAGGAGTTGTGTCTCATCTGAGTTTATATTGGCATACATTATGGTAAGAGCAATAATATTAATTCTGACTTACGATTATTTTAATTGAAAAGTTTCAGTTTAGCTGAATTCTGTTGGTGATTATATATATTTTGTGATTCCTGAAGATAAAACAAATATTGAGTTTGATAGCTATTATATGGCATCACATTACTGTCCCATGGCTATCAAAATGTAGCCTGTGAGGTGTAACTTAAGAATGTTGCTGAAGTAATTTGTGCATGAGCCAGAGGCAGTCTTTTAGTGTAGCTGACAAGGTATGTTGGTGACATATGTATATGGCAATATATATGTGTGTGTCCTTACATGCATGTATGTACCTTCCATGAAGTAATTTGTGAGTGTTGTCTAACATGAATAGATCAGTTACACAAATAACACAATATTAAGCAAAATATGAATGGAAACAAAGGATTTTGACCTAGGCAGTGAGACCATGTGATATGAAGTTAACTGTAGTTATTGATCAGTAAAGTGTTATTTGAAGATACAGTGCACCTGTTATTTTTATTAATAGTATTGAGAGAACTTTCAGTTTCAAGATTAAAATATTCGGCGTGTAGTGAATTATTAATGTATATTTCCTCTAATATTTATCACAGCTTGATTCATTTTCTGTGCTGATTAAGAGCGCAAAATTGGACTCAATGATATCATGGTACATCCAAATAGACTTGCTTTCATCATCTTTTCTCTCAATATCTGAGAAGGATATGAATTCAACAAATTACTGAAATTATTTATTTAAATTTACTGGGAGATCGTCTGAATATTTCAGACACATAGTTTGATACCTTTACTGACTTGACATATTAGGCGAAATATTTGCCAGGACACTAAAAGTTTTGTCAGTATCAGCGTAAGCTTGTGATGAAGATATTTACTCTGAAGTTGCTGAATGTGTGAGCAATTGCATCGTCACATATATATATATATTTTGCGGTGTTTGGCTGATTTATATTTATGGTTAGCAGTCTATGCAACTCCTTGAGCCATGTGCTCATCAAAACTGTCCCATATTTGTTGAAGAACAGTTCTAAGACTCCTTTACAGTTTACAGCAGTGGAAAGGTCGATTTGAGCACTTTTCACGCTTAGACTGCATCTGTTGAATGGCTGAAGTATGTAACTCCAGACCTCACACAAAATCCCAATCTACAAAGTGTGCATCACACCACTCAGAATCTTTGCATCTTTTCTTGTTGTTGGTTTTTGATATTCAACATCCTT